ACACGTGTGTTCTGGTTTTAGTTTTGTTTTTGTTTTGTTCCCCTCCCCTGGCCCCTGACAGGATCTCATTATGTAGTTCTGGATCTCCTGATACTATTAGACCATGCTGGCCTGGAATTCACACGCAGTTCCACCTGCTTCTGCCTCGGGTTTTTTTTTTTTTGTTGTTGTTGTTTGTTTGTTTGTTTGTTTTGGGGTTTTTTTTTTTTCTTTTTGAGACAGGGTTTCTCTGTGGCTTTGGAGCCTGTCCTGGAACTAGCTGTTGTAGACCAGGCTGGTCTCGAACTCACAGAGATCCACCAGTCTCTGCTTCTGCCTCGGAAGTGCTGGGATCAAACGGGTTAAAACTTTCGTTCACACAAAGGCTCACTGCTTTCTTTTGGGAATTTGATGGCCTGGAGCAGTAACCCTTTCCCCTTCCTCTATTTCTTCTTTTCAGACTAGCCAATTTGAGTAAGATTGCAAAATCCAGCCCAGTCAATGGGGGGGAGGGGTTGGAGTGAAAGTGAGAATAAAGAATACATTTGTTGTCTCTATGTGTGTACGATTTTCTTAACCCAACCAGTTATCAAGAGTGTCAGCCCGGCGGTGGTGGTGCCTGCCTTTAATCCCAACACTTGGGAGGCAGAGACAGGCGGATATCTATGAGTTCAGCCTTGTTTACAGAGTGAGTTCCAGCATGGGCTCCAAAGCTACAGGGAAACCCTATCTCAAAAAAAACAAAAACAAAATAAAGTGTTGGTCCAGGAATGGAGCCCTGTGAGAATTCTGAGTGCTTGTGAGAACCATCTAAGATAATAAGAGTCTTGTGACCTCAAAAATTATTCTTGGGCTGTGTTTTCATACCCCTCCCAGGTGTAGTGGTTACGAGTGAGCTTACTTCAAAAAACACTTCAAATTGAATTCATTCAGACCAGAAACAAGACAAATTTCGTTTGCAGCAGATCAACTGAAAATGCAAGATTGGTGGGGAGTGGGTGGTGCACACCTTTAATCCTAGCACTTGGGAGTCAGAGGTGAGTGGATCTCTTGAGTCCGGGGCCAGCCTGGTGGTCTATAGAGCAAGTTCCAGGACAGCCTGGGCTATGTAAAGAGATTCTGTCTCAAAAAAGAATATAGCAAGAGGATTTCTGATAGGCAGTGATAACTGCTGTGAAGAACAGGAGAAAACGTCTCCAGAAAGAACTTATAACTGCCTGTTTTAAAGGAGAGGGGGAAGGGCTCTGGCTCTTGTGTGGTGCTGGGAATTGAACACAGACTTGTGTTACACTCTATAGATGAGAAATCCCTGGCTCTTCATATATTCTTAAAATTCTTTTATTAATTTTATGTATACGTGTTTTTTCCTGCATACATGACTACATGGTGCCCTTGGGGACCATATGAGAGCATTGGATCCCATAGGACTAGAGCTACAGATATTGTGAGCTGCCACGTGAGTGCTGGGACTCGAACCTGGATCCTCTGGAAGGGCAGCCGTGTGTGTGTGTGTGTGTGTGTGTGTGTGTGTGTGTGTGTGTGTGTGTGTGTGTGTGTTGAACTGGGTGAACCAAAGCCTCATTCATGCTAGTCAAACGTTCTCACTAACATCCCCAGTCCCTGTCCTCTTATCTTTAAGACAGATTGTCTTCCTTTTCCTTTGCATTTGTCCTTAGACACAGATTACCCATGCCAGTTACTTATGAGGCAGACTAGACTGAGAAGAAAATATTACCCAGGCCTCCTTTGTGGTGCAGATCTGCAGTTCCACCTACTGGAGAAGCTGAGGCAGGAGGATAAAAAGGTCAAGTGAGAGGACTCAGTTGATAAAAGTGCTTGCTGCCTGGTCACACATGCACACTGAAAAGTGATTTGTTTTGTGTTGGGACATTTTGTGTGAATGTGTTGTGCACCATATGCATGCCTAGAGCCTGAGGAGGCCAGAACAGGTTATCAGATGCTCTGTTACAGACAGTTGTGAGCGGCCATTAGTGCTGAGAATCACATCAGGAGCCCCTGAAAGAGGGGTCAGCGCTCTTAACAACTGACTCATTTCTTCAGCCCCATGAAAGCAAGCAAGTTCAAGTCTAGCCTGGTAACTAAGTGAGACCCTGACTCTAAACAGTAAAAAGGCCTGGGGTATAGTGCAGTGGTGCACTGCTTGCCTAGCATGTGCGAGAACTTGGGTTCAGGACTGGCGAGATGGCTCAGTGGGTAAAGATGCTTGCCACCACTGCTGAGCATCTACGCTCAGCCCTCAGGATCCACATGAAGGGAAGAACTGGCTCCACGATGTCATCCTTTGCCGCTACAGGTGCCGTGCGCACACATACATAAACAAATGTATTTTAAAACATGTTTTAAAGAACCTGGGCTCAATATCAGTATTAAAAGAAATCTTAAAAGACAAGGCTAGGGAGGAGGCTCAGAGGTTAAGGGCTCTGACTGCTCTTCCAGAGCACTGGGTTTGACTCCCATTAGACATGAGGTGGCTCACAACTGTCTCTAGCTCCAGTCTCAGGGAGTCTGATACCCTCCCAAGGCTTCTCTAGGCCAGGAATGCATGTGGTGCACAGATATACATATAGGCAAAACACCCATACACACATAAATACAATTTTAAAAAAAGGACGGAGTGAGGGAGAGTGAGAAGGGAATTAAAGGAACAAAAAGGAAGAAAACATCAAAAACTAAGGGGGCACAGAAAGAGAAAGAAGCCATCACTCCAGGGTCTCTTTGCATTCCTCACTGGCTGAGCCAACTGATAAAAGTCTAAATTGCTGTGAAGGGTTGGCAAGCTAGCTCAGAGGGTAAAGGCACCCATTACCAAACCTGAGAACCTAAGTTTGATCCTTGGAGAACACAGAGTGGAAAGAGACCAGACTCCTGAAAATGGTCCTCCACCCTCTACAGGAGCACTGTGCCATGTCCTCCTCCCAGACAATCAAGTATCATAAAGAATCGCTGTGACATTGCCTGTATACAAAGATTAACCGTGGTTTTAAGAGAGTTATCTGAAGAGCAAATTGTATATAACTCTACATTTTTAATTTTTATTGCTTAGGGTTTTATTTTTTTTTTTCTTTAGCTCTTTTGGAAATGGGGTCTTACTCTGTAGCCCAGGTTGGTATGGAATTCACTATAAAGCCCAGGGCTTGTCATGTAGCCCCTGGATAACCTGAGACTAGGTAGTGCAAGCTGGCCTCAAGCATTACACAATCCTCCTGCCTCTGCCTCCTGATTGCTAGGGTTGAAGGCACACTACATTTGGTGGCTTCTTCCTCTTCTTTTTCTATGGAGAGAGGGTCTTATTATGTACCCCAGCTGGCCTGGAATGCATAGGTTCACCTGCCTGTTTCCTGAGTGCTGGGATTAAAGATGTGCATGGCTAGTGCCCACAGGGATTAGTTGCAAATGGAGTTAGGGATGGCTGTTAGCCACCATGCGGATTCTGGGAACCAGACTCAAGTACTATGCAAGCACAACAGCACTCTTAACACGGAGCTAGCTCAGCTACAGGGCTATGTCTCAGACCTTGTCTCAGGAAAAAAGATCAGAACTACAGAGCCACACTAGGGAGAGCTATTATCCTCTGCTTGATTTGGCTTGGAAAATACTCCTTATTCAAACTGCGGGTGGTGGCGCACACCTGTAATCCCAGCACTCTGCAGGCAGTGGTAGGCAGATCTCTGTGAGTTTCAGATTACTGGTTGAAGAAGTGATGTTCCACAACAGCCAGGGCTACACTGAGAAACCCTGTCTTAAAAAAAAACAAAACACAGAGGTTGGAGAGATGGCTCAGAGGTTAAGAGCACTGACTGCTCTTCCAGAGGTCCCGAGTTCAATTCCCAGCAACCACATGGTGGCTCACAGCCATCTGTAATGAGATCTTCTGGCCAGCAGACATTCAGAACATTGTATACATAATAAATCTTTTTAAAAAAAAATACAGTGCCGGGCGGTGGTGGCGCACGCCTTTAATCCCAGCACTTGGGAGGCAGAGGCAGGCGGATCTCTGTGAGTTCGAGACCAGCCTGGTCTACAAGAGCTAGTTCCAGGACAGGCTCCAAAACCACAGAGAAACCTGTCTCGAAAAACCAAATAAATAAATAAAATACAAAAAAACTTTTTTAAAAAATCTAAAATTGTCTGTGCACATATGATGCTGAATGTGTATGGGGGGACATGAGTCAAATAATCCCAAGCTGACTCCAAAAACAGTATTCTAAGGTTTTCCTTTATTAAAGGGGAAAACTCATGGTACAGGAATGGGGATCCAACCTCAAGGTGTGGAACATAGGAAGAAGAGAGTGAGCTGGGCAGGACAGCGGCTTTTTGGGTCCCAAAAGTCATGTCCCGACCTGGTCCAGCCTCTTAAAGGCCATTGGCTGAAGGCGGTTCCCCATCACCTCCCCCCTTTGTCTAAATAACAGAGTTCCAAACCCAAAACAAAACTATATACACTAAGAACAGATATCAAGTATAAAATTAGAATTACAACCAGCATAAACAACATTAAGCAAGGAGCAGATGCTGTTTTAATTAATCATATTCTCTCCTAAGGCGTCTAAGTCTTGTATTAGAAATGGCTTGGCTAGCCGGGCGGTGGTGGCGCACGCCTTTAATCCCAGCACTCGGGAGGCAGAGGCAGGCGGATCTCTGTGAGTTCGACACCAGCCTGGTCTACAAGAGCGAGTTCCAAGACAGGCTCCAAAGCCACAGAGAAACTCTGTCAAAAACAAAGAGAGAGAGAGAGAAAGAGAGAGAGAGAGAGAGAGAGAGAGAGAGAGAGAGAGAGAGAGAGAGAGAGAGAGAG